TAGGCAAAGATTCTATCCGAGAGGGGTGCTTGATGACTACTTACTGAAATAAAGCCCAGCTAAACCAACACATAAAGCTTATAACTGAAGAAAATGCATGCGATAGACTCATTCTAGTATTGTCTTCCTCAATGTAAAGGAGTTTTAAATAAAAGTACTCTTTAATCTTTTGAGGTTTATTTTACTACCTTCTGATTATGTACTACCATACCTAAATAAATAAATAAATAAACCTCACTCCAGTCAAGTTGGTTGCAACTCATAGCAACCCCTTCTTGGGTTTCTGAGGCGGTATCTCTATGGAAGTACATTGCCCAGTCTTCCTTCCCAGGAATGACTGGTGGGTTTGAACCACCAGCCTTCTGGTTAGCAGTCAAATGCCTTAGGCACTACACCACCAGAGCTCCCACAGAGATAGTAAATAATTAATTGGAAAGTGTTTAATCAATGTTAGTAAACATTAATCCCTCATATAAACCAGTCAATTATGTTTGATTATGTAGATTTCTGACTGCTTCCTGCAAGTGCTGATATTCCCTGCAAACTGAGATATGGAGCCAACATATCAGAAAATCAATACAGAAATATCTTTAATTGATACCTTGTCTTTTGAAATGCATCCTTGGTACACAAGGTGTTGTGCACTTGGGAACTCTGGAAGAAGTGTTCCAGTTTTTGAGCTAAGTGAATATTTCCGAGTGAAGCCACCCTTAGGGGAAAAATGAAAGGAAATAAATCATTATCAACTATAAGGCTCTAAAATACAATATTAATAAGATCGACACATAAAATTTCATTGTCCTTCATCCCACAAATGATGAAAAATTACAAGATTCAAGTAAACTGTTTAGACTGTACAACTGAATAAACTGAACTTGTCAGTAGAACTATTGTTTACAAACTATAAATAGTTTTATAGTCAGGATACTTTCATATGGCTCTGGATTTTAGCTTTAAACTTTTGTTGTTTTTACAGCTTTCAGAAATTTAAGTTCATATTTGTTAATGGCTTAAGTTTCAGAAACTCTATCTTGAGAACTAATAAAATTAACATTATAAGAGGATTCAGAAATTGCCAAATTCAACCCAATCATTTATGATTAAGTAAATGAGATGTTGAGAAGTTAAGTAATTTATCTGGTCTCAGAGATAATTAGTAATGAAATGGTGATTGCTGTCAAAGTTCTCTGATTCCCAAGAAATTCTTTTCCATCTAACCGTCCCTTACCCTAAATTCCTATATAAGTTAACCTTTATATTCTCTTGGGGAAGACACACCTCTAGTACTTTTCAGAAAATTAGAGAGAATGACAAATAACAAATAATATATAATGCTGTGGGACTTATAAGGTGCTTTTGTGAAGCAGTGGTTAAGTTCTCAGCTGCCAACAAAAAGGTTGGTGGTTTCAACCCACCTGCTACTGTCTAGAAGAAAGACTTGTAGCAATCTGCTTCCATAAAGATTTACAGCCTTGGATATCCTGGGGCAGTTCTACTCTGTCCTTTAGGGTCACTATGAGTTAGAGCAATAGAAGTTGTGCTCATAAGAAACACAGAGAGAGGTGATGCTTATTTATGACAGAACTGAATTTTAGCAATCAGTCTCCCCGGGCATAACTGATTGCTCCTGCTCCGTACACAAAACTTTAACAAACTGATTGTCATAAAAAGTTTGACCAAAGAATGAAATTGTGAATATGGTAAAAATAAATAAAATGGTCATGTCATGAACCAAATTCCATTCTTTCTCATAATTTTCCTGCATTTGTTTCTACAGGTTCTGTGCTTGTTTGTTTGTCTCTGTTATACTGAAGACGTTTACCAAACAAAAGATTTACTATATAACATAAGTAGGTTGGGTATCCACCCTGTCCTATTCCCAGCCATCCGTGTAGACTTATGTGGTAAATGCAAAGGAGTTGCAAGATACTTTACAAGCACTGGTCTCCTATTGACTGATTTCATCTAGGCATTTAAACAAATTTTATGTTAAAAATGTAATAGAAATCATTTCTCTCAGATTAGGTTTTAGTATAGGTATAAAATGAGTTATTCTGATTAAATAATTTATAAAATTAATAAACAACTACATAAATTAGTTTCATAAAACTGATGCAATAGTACAGCTGATCCAAATCTACTCCATTCAATCTGTTTTAATAATTGTAGATGTGGGCTTTGGGCTTGCCATTTATGAACATTCATTGTCATTGCATGGTTAGAGAATGATATTACTAACAAATAGAAAAATAATATAGAATGCAAGAAGAGAGATAATTTAATCTTAAAGGAAAAGAAGGTATGGCAAAATATTAAACTAACAATTGATGGAGAAAAATAACAAAATGCATCTAAATTCTAGTTCCAGAAAAGTTGACACATTTTCTTATATTTTTCTCTTGGATGTAAAATCACATTCATTCATCCCAAGATATAATTTTGTGAGATGGGGAAAGGCAGATAGAGAAGTAGAAACAAACAAACAAAAAATGTTGTTGTTGTTGTTATGTGCCGTGGAGTCAGACCCGACTCATAGAGACCCCTCCTTGGGTTTCCGAGGCAGTATCACTACAGAAGTAGATTGCTCAACCCTCCTACTGAGGAGTGGCTGGTGGGTTTGAACCGTCAGCCTTCTGGTTAGCAGTCAAGTGCCCTAGGCACTATGCTACCAGAGCTCCCTAAACAAACAAAAAATAGCAATACTTAATATTATTGTATTATATATTAAATTTATGTTAAGAATAAGGGTATAGTCATATTTCTAGTAATTAGTATATTAATTACTAATATAATTAGTAAGGAAAAATCTTTCCACAAAGAGAAAGAAAAAGATCCAGAAGATTTAATAGATGGGCTTTTATTAAGTATTCAAGAAACAGTTCACTTCAAACTTACAAGATTCTTTCAGAAAATAAAAAGAATGACTACTACACAATTCATATTATAAGATTTATGCCAAAACCAGAAAAGTACAGAATCAAAAGGAAAAATTATAGGTCAGTTTCACTAATGACCATATTTGTAAAAGTACCCTGTTAGCAAAATACTATGAACACATTAATAAAATATTAGCAAATCAAATCAAGCAGTGTATAAGAATGATCATAGCCAAATTGAGTTTAAATTAACCACATTAAAAAAAGAATATCTTATATTATAAAATCATTTAAAGTGATGCAGAAAAAAATATTTATTAAAAATCCAACCACCTTTACGGTACACATACATACACAATTTTGATAAGCTAGAAATAGGAAAAAACTTTCTTAATGATCTGAATATCTATCAAAAAAACTAAAAAAATATCATACACAATAGCAAAATATAAACATTCTCTTAAAAATCATGACTAAGATAAAGTTGCCCACTTTCACCACTTTTATTCAACACAATACTACAGTTTCTTGTCAGAGCAGTAAGACAAGAACATTTAATAAAAGATTAAGGATGAAAAAGGAAAAAACAAAACTAGCATTATTAGCAACTAATGTGACTGATTACTTTAAAAACTAAAATGCATAGCAACTTTTACAATTAACAAAAGAATTTAAGTTGCTGGATACGAGATCAATTTACAAATCAACTGAAATTCCAATACCAAGTAACAAACATTAAGAATATAGAATTTAAAAAAAAAAAAAACTTTTCCAACAAATATGTCGTAGTTAAATTTGTGTGTGAACTTGGCTGGGCCTGGTTGAGTGGCTGGGGAGCTGGTGGGAGTTATTCCCCATGATGAGACTGGCATCACCTCCATGGTGGGATCTACCACAAGCAGCTGAGTAGCTGCCTTTGGGATGTGGTCTGCTTCCTATATATAAGGAAAAGCTTGGGGATAGTAGCTAGCTTATGGCACTCTTGGACCCTGCATGTAGCCGTGTCATTGTTCAGCAGCTTGCCATGCTCTGCCGACCTTGGGACTTACAATGGACTTAAATTAATGGCCTGCTGTGTGTGGTTTGGTAACATCGGGACTGTGCCATTTTATTTGTTGACCTTGGGCTTGTTAGCCTCAACATCCAGTAGCTGTCTGAGTGAAGAGATGCCTCTAGCTTCAGTGGGTCTGGAGCAAGAGGCAGAGCTGAAGCCAAGGTCCAGGGGCTTTGACACAGCCCCTAGAGCCTGGCACTTTGAACTTGGACTTCTAGCCTCCAAACTGTGAGAGAATAAACTCCTGTTTCTTAAGGCCATCCCATTTGTGGTATATTCTTGTCAGAGCGGCACTAGGTAACCAGAATAAAATATTAGAAACTGCCTAAGAATAAGTGGAATAAAAGATGTGCAAAATTATTATTAAAATTATTCAACTTTATCATAAGATATTCAAGAAGTTAAGAATAAGAACATCCAATATTATGAAAATGTAAGTTCAACACAAATTGATCTGTTTCTTTGATGAATTCCAATGAAAATACCAACAGGTTTTTCTGTGAAATTTAATGGGCTGATTATAAAGTGTATGTGAAAATGCAAAGGCTCTAGAGTAGATAAGACATTCCTGTTAAAAAGAACCTGACAGTAGAATTTGCATGATCAGATATCAAGAATATTATAAAGCTTTATTTGTGATCAACCATCTAGGATACAACTATTGGTCTCCACTCATCTGGAGAAAAAGAAAGAGAAAGAAGCCAAAGACTCAGAGAAGAAACTAGGCTACACCAACTAGTATGCACTAACCACAGCCTCATCTATCCTGAGACCAGAACTAGATGGTGCCTGGCTAACACTACCAACCACTCTGACCAGGAACACAATACATAGTGCAGGATAGAATGGAATAAAAATGTAGAACAACCCTCAGATTCTTAAAAAAAAAAAAAAAAGCCAGATTTACAGGACTAGTAGAGACTAGAGGAACCCTTGAGACTCACCCTGAGATACCCTCTAAACTTTATACAGAAAACACACCTGGAAGTTGCCTTTCAGATAAATAATAGATTGACTCATAATAAACACTATCACTCATGAGTACTGTGCTCCTTTAAAAAGTCATCTATATGAGGCCAAATGGCCAACATTTGTCCTAAAGCAAAGATGTAAAGGGGGGGAGGGGAAAGGGAACATAGAAGCTAGGTTGATGGAAATGAAACAACTAGAATGGAAATAATGAGAATGTTGACACATTGTGAAAAATGTAACCAATGTCATTGAACAATATGTATAGAAATAGCTAAATGGGATCCTAATTTGCTATGTAAACTTCCACCAAAAACATAACAAAATACGATAATAAAAATAATATCAAACTATTAGATATTTATTGGAAAAGAGTATTATAAAGCTTTAATAAATAAAACAGTGATATTGACAGATGAATAGATGAAAAGAACACTGGAATGAAATAGCCCAGAAAAAGACCCCATACATGAATTGGCATTTCAGATTAGCAGAGATAAAAATCAATCCCTACTACATGTCACACTAAAAATTAATTATGGATGAAACAAGAACCTAAATGTTAAGAGCAACTAGAAAATGTTTAGATAAGTATATAAGATAATATCCCTATAACTTTGTAATATAAGAAGATTTTAAAAAATCAGCATTAACCATAAAGCGAAAAATTCATCTTCACCAAATGACACTATAAAGTGTTGAGCCATGCCATCAGCTAGGAAAAGTTATTATTTATAACACATAATCTACTGGATATTAGTACTTAGAATATATAAAGAATTTCTGAGAATTGAGTCTCATAAATAGAAA